TGGACAACCCTCATCGTATGTAACAATGATAGAAGATTCCCGCTTCTTGCGCAGACCTGTCCTTCGATGAACTGTATTCAAGCAAAAAATGACTTTTGTGGCATACCGGTCATAAGTACCACTGACACATCCTGTCCTTTTACTGCACGAAATTATTTAGGCTTGCAGGAATGGGAACTCTTCCAAATTTACCACACCAGGACGCTACATTTTGAAACTGCGATAAAAGTCATTATTTGTTCATTTGGTCCCGCAATTCCTTTTCCTTTTGACCATATTAAAAAAATGAAAAATTAAATCCTCTAGGTATTATTGTCTAAAATTTCTAATTGGAAACCATGTGAATCTGGCTGACACCTCTCTTTTCCGCACTTTATGGAAATCTACAACTTTTGACTGTCGCTTGTATTTGCGGCTGTCGTATCCTATCCCACTGAATTATGATCTCTGGCGAATTGTCACCTACGTGCATTTAGTCATCTGTCTTAGGACACTAGCAAGAAAATAATCGCGAGAATACTTTTGTTTGTGTCATCATCATCTTGGGCCGTTTGCTCAAACAAAGTGTCTCTGTTCTGTGATGTCCAGTACGTTCCTATATTCACAGCTTTACAAAACTTTTGCTATAAGGCAAAGTTTATTGCCTCTCCAAAATCAAATATTCCTATACTTTTTTCCTATGTTGCATTTTGTCCCCCTAGTCGATGTCTGTCGTTCTTCGGCTGCCAAGCAAGGAGCTGATCTGCTGTAGCAAATAATTTATGCTCAACTAGTTTACCTAACAGGCCCAACTTTCTTTTTTAATCTCCACATCTATCGAAGTCATCTGTGCCCAGAAGAGAATAGAATCACTCTTTGTAAAATGATGTCGTTTAACATTAATGATGCATCAAAACCAGCGCTGCTGTAGCTAGTTCAACCGCTCTTCTTGATGCTTCATCAGAACAACTGTCTCCATACCATACAGTAACACTGTCTTGACAGACTCAGGGTACAGGCGGAATTTTATGTAAAAAGGGTCATTTCTCAGCCCAAATATTTGACAGATTACAAAAAGCACTGGAGATGAGGTGATTTTCGTATTTAACTCTTTATTTCTGATTCAGTAGTATTATTGCTGCATATGATTGAGCTGAGATACGTAAATTGGTCTGCTACTTCTATGGCTTGTCCTTGTCTTATTCACTGGTAGACGAACCGTATGTGATAGGTTTCTTGTATCTTTGATCTGCCAAGTATTAGGTAAGGGTCAGCTATCGCTACTCAAAAGGACAGTGTCATCTACGAAATCCAGATCAGTAAGATATCTAGTCTGATTTTTTGAACTGTCCCTTTCCTTCTGGAATGGGATCTCCGTCTTGCCATGGTCAGCACAGTTTTGTAGAAAAAAGTCGATTGCAATGTTCAGAGTACAAAGGCGAAAGCTTATCTCCTTGGCAAACTCATCGGTTAATAGGGTTAACTCATCGGTCCTGCCAATTTTCTAAACTTACACGACGTACTCGTATCGTGGTCATGCCAGGTAGCCTATGGAACCCTTTGTATTTCAGTACCTGTAGTGTATGGATGCAAAACAGCACCACTTTGTTTAATCGAACAAAATTTTCTTGTGGCACCAACCGAAATCCCACTATCCGTTGTCATTTATGCACATAAAACTAACTCAGGTATTATTTGTTTACTAGCACAGCTGCTAATAGAGTATCACAAATAGTTCTCCTATGACTTTGACAACAGACATTGTTCCTGCGTATATCTCTCAAATGATATGGAAACGATATGTTCAGACATCCCATGAAATCTTAGGATTCTATAAGACCATGGATGATGTTCTCAATCAAATAAGCGTTAAAGAAAGGAAATTTGGAAACTGAGGTAATTTGAATCACTGAAATTGCTGGATGATGATATGAAGGGTGAAAAGTTAGTCGGAACGTAAATACTCCGCCTTCTTGATTTTGGAGGAGTCTGCTTTCAACTTCTCCATCAGCCTTGCCCAGATAATCCAGCGGAACACTTTCCCAAGAGTAGTCAGCACGGCAATATCAGGATAGTTAGATTACTCGGTGCCCCGTTAAGTATGGGAGAATTGCCCTACGTTTCTTTTCTCCATGAAAGTATTGTGAGGTCCAAAATTGGTAAGCAGGAAATGGACCGTTTTTTAGCATTCATTTTCCGCCATATTTAATTGATTCCAAGAGATCTGATCAATACCACAGGCTTTCTTCATCTTGAGACGTAACTGTCTTTGGAATAAAAGTGCGATTGTTATTGAGCAGTTAATAAATTTAACTCTGAGTAAGCTTTATATTTCAAATGAAAATGTTATAGTATTAAAATTATCTTTAACTTTTATCCCATTTAAAGTCACTGTAAGAAAATTACCAAATTAGTTTTCTTGTAAATGGGTTTTTATCCTTTCTATGAGACTTTTCTCTTTTCAGATGCCTGCAGATCAGTAGGGTCATGCATAAACGACGAATGAGGTGTTGGCGCCACTGAGTGGGTGTTAACACCTGTTGTTCTATTTGCAATACCACTGTAAAGTAATAAGGTTGTTATTGCTTTGTATTACCAAATTAGGTAAAGAGAAACGATGGTAACTTTAATTAGCTGATGAAAAGATGCTGACAGTGTTAAAGAGATAAGTAGTGTGCGATGAACCCGTCCCCGTTGAAACAACTTAACGAGTTGTTGCCATCGTCGAAGTGGAAGGCATGAACAGCATGGTTGATCGTACTAACGACGTCTGGCCTATTCGACTGCGGCAGATACTGAACCTCGAACGCGTATTTCTCTCATTGATTGATTTATCAGACAGCTGTCCATGCTAACTATCTTATATTCGATTAGGTGTGTGAAGGAACTTCACATACATACGTTCGTCCATTTAATATATCGTGATGTAAAAGCACCTTCATACCTTCCCGAAGCTTTATGTCCTGGTTGTGCAACTCTATCAGCGTTCCCAGTTGGCCTTGAGAAGCAGCAGCACCGGCGAAGAAATGGTCCCTGGCAACCGCAGCGTTGTGTACAGCATAAGTGGTTGCAGCCGTTGGGTGAGTGGCGGTTGACTGCGGGAACGTCGTCGCAAAGTCATGGCCATGGCCTGTCATGATGAGGTGTGTCGTAGTCGCAGGACTCGCCAAGCACTGGCCTGCATAAAAGCCGTAGGGACTGAAATCGGCTGTGGTAGATCGCATAGCCGGGTAGCTGCAGAAGCACGGTGACATAGAATGATCACTCTTTGCTACCGGACAGTTCAGTCCCAGAAGCTCCTTGATGGCAAATGGCATCCTTGTAGGATTCGTCGTTGGAATTTGCAATAATCCTCTGTTCGGGCATTGTGTAGCAGAAGG